GAAGGTGGGCTTAAGCCCCACTCCTTGCCAGGATTTGTTTATTTTGGAATGTTCAAGGATTTAATAAATTCTCGAAGAGACGGGACTTTACACAAGTCCTGAGGCGAGTGAATGTTAGTGTAGTGGCAGTTTTAGAGACTCGAGTGCATCAAGAAGTCGGAGGAGATTTCTGAAGGTTTTTTAGTGGGTTGGGAAAGGTTTTTAAACTACTGTGAGTCTGATTTTGGTCGTATCTGGTGTTCTGGCAACCAGAGTTTAAAGTCAGCATTCTGAAGCCAAGTAGAAACTTTCTTCATACTTTGATACAAGATCAAGGGGGTGATTCCTATTTTTTAACAATCGTATATGGAGCATACGATGAGTTGGAACGAAGGGCAACACATATTCAGCTAAGTAGACTTAAAGTTGATGATTACCCTTGGATAGTAGGAGGAGACTTCAACGCGATTCTACATCCAAGTGAAGCTTCTAATCAGACTCTTCTTACATCAAGTATGTCTGATTTTGAGGGGTGGCGAAACAACATGGAACTGGAGAATTTTAATACTCTAGGACCTTTCTTTACATGGGCGAACAACCAGCAGCTTAATCTGATTGCTAAGCGTCTGGATAGAGCATTGGTGAATGTTCCCTGGATGACAGTTTTTCCTAACTGTATTATGAAAGCTATCCCTTGTACGTTTTCAAAACATTGTGGTATTCTGGTCCAAGCTAAACCTCATGAGTTTACTTTACCTAAACCTTTCAAGTATTTTGATTTTTGGAGTGAACATTCTGAGTTCCTGAATATTGTAGAGGAGGCCTGGTCCATTCAATGTGTTGGTAGTCCATGGTATATAGTGCAGACTAAGCTAAAAGAGGTCAAAGAGGCTATGAAAATGTTGAACAATGAGCATTATGCTAATATCAGTTCCCAAGTAAAAGAGAGTTGCAGTTGTTAAGAGTAACGATTGATTGCTTCACTGCCCCTACAATTGAGAACATACATGCGAAAAAAATGTTGTTGTCTCAATTGGAAGATGCAAAGCAGGCAGAGGAAGGGTTATATTGCCAGAAATCTAGAGAAGAAGGTCTTAATAGAGGTTACAGAAGCACACGATACTTCCATCAATAAGTGAAAATCAGAACGACAAAGAGAGCTATTAGAAGAATAAAAATTGAGACAGGGGAAGTTATTACTGAAGTTGATAGAGTGGCTGATGCTATCAAATCTCTTTGGTGTGGCAAATTCTGATGTTCACCCCGATTGTCAGTACTTGAAAGAGGTTATTCACAGGAAATTGTCTCATGAAGATAAAGAGTTGCTCTGTAAGGCTGTACCAGTTGATGAAATCCGGGAAATAGTGTTTCAAATGAACATCCATAAAGCTCCATGTCTAGATGGGTTTTTCTCAAGTTTCTTTAGGAGAACTTGGCATATTATTGGGGAGGATGTTATAAAAGGAGTTCTTGACTTCTTTGTGCTTAGTGGAGTCAATGCCACTGCAGTAGCTCTACTACATAAGGTACTAAATGCTGAGACTTTTAAAAAATTTCGTCTTATTTCTTGTGTTAATGTGCTTTATAAAATAGTAGCGAAAATATTGGCTAAGAGGTTGAGTGAGGTACTGCCCAATGTAATTAGTTTGAATCAAACAACATTCACTAAGGGTAGCCAGATTGTAGATAATATTATGCTTGCTGAAGAATTGGTCAGTGGGTATCATAGAATGCAGTTATCTTATAGGTGTGCTATAAAAATTGATATTATGAAAGCCTTCTTTTCGGTCAATTGGGATTATTTGTTCATGATTATGAAGTTGATGGACTTCCCTACTCGTTACTTGGATTGGATTCACACATGTGTCTCTACAGCGAGATTCAGTATTTGTGTTAATGGGGCTATGAAAGGGATCTTTAAAGCAAAGAAGGGAGTGAGACAATGTGACCCTCTCTCATCTTACCTCTTTGCAATTGCAATGGAGGGTCTCACTGGAATGTTAAACAGAGCATCTGAGCATGGACATATTTCCTACCACCCTCTTGCAGCAAGATCTCCTTGAATCACCTTTGTTTCGTAGATGATTTGTTGATTCCCACAGTAGGATCAACAAAAGCGATAATGGCATTAAAGCAGACCCTGGATCAGTTCTATAAGCATTCTGGATTGAAGTGTAATCCTGTGAAATGTTCATTTTTCTTTGGTGGTGAGTCAGTCACCTATAAGTAGAATGCTCTTACTTTATCTGGATTTGTAGAAGGTTCTCTTCCTGTGCGTTACCTGTGACTACCTCTTATATCTGGATTGACAACACCAATAACTAAATGAATTAGATCATGCGTGCTAAGAAACTATCTTATGCTGGCAGATTGCAGTTGATCAGCTCAGTAATATCCGGTCTTGTTCAATATTGGCTTCAAGTTTTTGTTTAGCCAAAGAAGATTCTGAAACTTGTTCAGAAACTCTGTATGGAATTTCTCTGGCATGGTAATGATACTGGAAGGGACAAAATTGCTTGGGATCGTCTTACTTGTCCTAAAAAAGAAGGAGGGCTTGGCATTCGAGATCTCGGCTCCTGGAATTCTGCTTGTTCTCTATTTTATTATGGCTTTTAATGATGTAGCCAGGAGCTCTTTGGATAGCCTGGATGCTCAAATATCGCTGTAAAACAGGGGATGTCTGGACTATGAAAGAGAATGCCAATAGCTCCTGGGCTTGGCGTCGAATTTTGAAGAAAATAACACAGGTACAATCTCTACTCAGCCGACAAGGGGACTGTGCTTTGTGGAATGGGCAACCAATGCATAAATATTCGATCAAGCTTGTCTGGAATACCCTGCGTCCTCATTATAGCGCGGTGGCGTGGTATAGGTTGGTTTGGGGGCAGAGTAGTGTCCCCAGGTTTAGTTTTATTGCCTAGCTTGTTATACTTGATGTCATTACTACTAAGAACAAGCTATTGCGATGGGGGAAGGTCAATGATGACTGTTGTGTTCTCTGTCACAATGGTAGTGAAACACTAGATCACTTGTTTTTCAGCTGTGATTTTGTGAAGCAAGTAGTTGCTAGTATCCTGCAAGTCGAGGTGGTGTGTAGATTTTCCTGAGAGGAATCACTAATGTCTGTTTGCCAAGCTATCAGGAACACCCAAGGAAGTTCTATTGGGGTAAAGTGGTGTCTGTTGATCACTTATATTTGGCAGGAAAGGTGCATGTGATGTCACTCTGAATTGGAACGTGATGTTGCAACTCTGCAGGCATTAATGAAGCAGGATTTGACAAGTTGAGAATATTGTATTGCTGGTGATAGAGATATAGGGGTCATTTGGATCCAGGTTTTTAATTTGTGGGATTTTGGCTCAAATCACTGGTTTAAAACCCCAGGTTTTTAATTTGTGAAATTTGTGTGGGATTTTAAAATAGCTGATCACCATCAGCTATTTCATAATCCCACAATTGTGGGTTTCTGAAATCTCTAATATTTAAAATCTCTTATCATATAATTGCTTTCCAAACGAGTGATTTTAATAAAATCTCACATTATATAGGATTGTACCCAAATCCCACACCCAAAACCTGCATCCAAATGACCCCATAGTAAAATGTAGTGGGAGATATTATTTCTTGTTTTCATTGTATTTTTTTTGTCAGGGCCACAATGGCAACCCATTCGTTGTATTGCTCAATTCAAGAACCGATACAACGAATGGGTTGTCATTGTGGCCCCCCGGCAGAAAAAGTTACAATTCTTTTTTGTTTAACAGTAAAAGGGTAACTGATTCGGCGGAAAAAAATTGTGAGAAAATAAAATTGAGTACCAAAATGTAACTTATCCAAATTTCTAGTAAGTAATCAAAAAATTCAATATTAAAATAAAAACTCATAAAATCTAATATACAAACAAATAAAAAATAAATAGGGAAACAACAAATTTGAGTTATAAGTATTTTAATTGCTAGTATATTTCAAATATATGTATTTTAAATACATATATTTCAAATACCTTAGATTTAAACTTGAATGGGATTTTCCGCCATATATAGTTGGAGACACAAGGAGTGACACCGGCAAAAACTACTACAAATACTATTGAACCACTGTTGATTCTTCCACTATAGATTTAGAATACATAAAAAAATCTATGCATGGATTAAGGGAGGGCGCAACCGGTACCGAAGAATCTTATGTGATGCCGATGAGAGCATTGAATCAACCATGAACTTCTATGATTGCGTTCTTTGATCAACATCTTGTAGATCAATGATTAAATTTTTAGTATTTATCGATTTCATATTTGATTCATTTTGCTGTTTTATCAATGCACTAATAGGAAAAACATCTTGTATGTTAATGATAAATTGTATTTTTTTTTAATTCTTTTATGTCTTTATGGTATATTTTTGTGTGTTTCATCAAGGTAAAAACACAAACCTAAGACTAAGCCTAATGAATAGGAAGTCTTCTAGAAGTCTCAACTAGAGCCCAAGAAAAACCTACTGGAGAGGGCATTAGGTTCTGTCTAACCGATGCAGATCCAATTGCTCCAAGAGGTTGCTTGGACCTCAAGCAAGCCAGACCATGAAGAAATGAGGTTGGGTCAACATTAAAACTATTACTCTTTAAAATATTTATTTTTCTAATACGCGAAACGATAGCTTTTTGCCGGTAAAAAAATCACATTCCCCATCAGCGGACCCTGAGTGAAGATAAAACAAAAGAAGTGGAAGAATCATATTCTCTGGTCGAGAATATATGAAATAATAAATACACAAAGATAATCAATCCACGTGGATCGGCCAACTTGTGGTGCTGGTGGGTAGTCACTAGTCACATGAAGGCCAGACCAGGCCAAATCTGGTGCGCCGCCCCATTCAGCCGAATCAAACGAAAAAAGAATCTCGGATCCCTCTGTTTGTCACTACTAAGAAGGCTAGGTGCTTGTTGCGTGTGTTTCGTAACAAGAGCCTTGCAAATTACACAGAGCGAGACAAGTCAGAATTCGTGAGCGCAGTCTCAAAAGTATGCGAGGGGAGTTAACACAGGAGACGGCGGTGGAAGCTCCGGCGAGCGCGGTGTGGGAGGCGTACCGCGGGCTTGAGCTGGCAAGGCTGGTCACTGAGCTGATGCCGGACACCATCGGCCACGCCCAAGTCCTTGAAGGCGACGGCGGCGTTGGCACCCTCGTCAACCTCACTTTCCCACCGGGTATTAATTACCTTTGTTAGACGCTAATTTAATTATGCCTTGCTACGACGTCGTTTTCCGGGTAATCAATTTTCTGCCCTATAACAACAGGGACTCCTGGGGCGGGATACGTGAAGGAGGTATTCACGGTGGCGGACGACGAGAAGCGGGTGAAGGAGACCGAGACAGTCGAGGGCGGCCTACTAGCTCTGGGCTTCGACTCGCTCCGAGTCCGCCTCGAAATCGCGGAGACCGGTGCCGAGTCCAGCGCCATCAAGTCCACGCTCCTCTACGAGGTGGACGACGCCAAACCTGAGCTTCTCGCCTATCTCTCCACCGACCTTTTGGAACGCATGGCCAAAGGGATAGCCAACCATGTCGTCCAGAATTACAACAACAACAAGAAGAAGAAGAAATCGCCATCCCTCTCTCCGTCTGAATGATTCCCGATTTGTGCTGTTTATGATGTTGCCGTTTCTTCGATGTGATCATGTGTGTCACAATTTTAATCAGACCCAACCTGCTCGATTCGTTTTGTATGGTTGTTATTAATCCGATTTGTGCTATTTATGTAATGCTTCAATCTCAATTATATTTAATCATATTTACTCGTGTGCCATTTTGAATAATATTTATTATATATACTAACATAAGTATGATTTGACCAAATTTAATCTTTCCTCTCAAATTTAATCAACCATCCTTCCGTAACTTATTTTTACTTTCTCTAATCCAGTTTTCTACTACAACACTAGAATCTCTCAAATTTAACTTTTTTGCTTAAAGATAACATAAAAAGTATTTATATGCATAAAAAATAATCTCTCACTACTATTTTTTAGTGTTTTTTCTTAGGAAACTTAACACATTCTATTCGTTCGTGTTTAAGTTTTGGTATTGAATTTTGAAGATATATACTATGATATTTAAACTTAGGATTTAGTGATAGATGATTTTTTTGAAAAATTTCTTTCATGAACGACTTTCACGGTCTATTGTCCATGACTCTTATTGTCGGATTTTCTAATGAAAACATTACTTATAATAGGGTTTTGACATATAGAAGTGACTGTGTTTACCTTAAATAGGGTTTCTCTCACATTCAATTTTTTATATGGATTTTACGTACTAAGAACGTTACTTATAAAATAAAAGTCAACGAAGGATTAGTTTGAAGTTTGAACACAAATTAAGATAGATCATTGGTTAAGTGTGGCAGGGAGAGATTTGTTAACCTGGATGTAATGGGTTTGAACCTACTTGGTGTGAAATTTTTGGTGATTTTCGTTTCTTAGAAGGGGCAATGGGAATGGGTAATTTTAAATGGAATTGAGGGCAAATTTGGTCTTATTGGAGTTAGGGTATATAAATAACTTTTTGGATAGGAGATTCTTAACCCTCGTCTCTCGGTCGCTCACTTCTTTTACCGTATCTCTCTCTCTCATTTTTCTCTGAAACACAAACATAAAGAAACGAAGACAAAACCTTTTTCTTCTGATCTCCTCCCATCTCTCTAATTCTCTCACCTCTCACACTGTCTTTTTCTCGACCACAATGAAGACCACGACACCTAGCTTTTTTCGGACATTCATGATGAGCTTTGCGATCAGTTATGCAATTTGCATGTAATATTAGGGGTTGATTGTTAGTTTTTATTAGGAGGAAATAGGTGTTGATATGTTATTTTTCTCTTTTTTTTTGGCTTTCTGTTTTTTTCATTCTAAAAGAGGAGGGAAGGACTCAAGGACCCAACTATGATAATGAATGATAGAAATAAGGGTTGGAATAGTAGGTACCGACCTTTTTTTTGTTGTTTGGTGAAGGGTATCACTGCTTTCATCCAATTCTCCGATGTTGCGTTTTCTCCTTTGTTTTGTTTTCCTACTTTTAGTCTATTAGGATTGTTGGTGTAGTGATTGTGGTGTGCTTGAGATGAAAAGAACTCGGAAAGAGTCTCCTTGAATGAAGCCTGTCTTTTGTTTAGGAAGGGAAGGTAGTATGAGGAATTTCTTACAATCCTTTTCACTCCCATTTTTGTCTTTTTTGTTTCTGTATTTTGCTGATAGGCACTACAAAAAAACGTGTCATGAGTGACAAAAATTAGCGATTATGGGTCAATTTTGTCGCTAAAAATGACTTTTAGGCACGATTTTCCACTTTCGTCAATTATATTTCGTCAACAAGATATGTATTTGCGACAAAGCATAGACGTCGTCGATAAAGACAATAATTTTTGTCACTAACTACACTTTTTGGAGGGAAAAATTGGCGCCATGGTTATCTGCTACGAATAAAATCTGGTCGTCAGTAATGTTCCATCAAAACATTGCTTTTGTGACAAAGCCTACATGTCGTCGAAAAAGACAGACATTAGTGACAACCTTTAGCCAGGGCAGGTCAAATTCGTCGCAAAGAATACTTTTAGGGACGAAGTTTACACTCTCGTCAATAATGTCCCGTCAAAATTTTATGTGTTTGCGACGAAGGTTGTATCTTGTCGGTAAAAAATATGAATTTTTGTTAGTAAGTCTAATTTTTGGAAGGAAAAATTGGCGTCATGGTTATTTGTGATGAATATCATTTGTTCGTTCGTAATGTTTCGGTGCAAAAAAATATATTTGCGACAAATGCTATTCCTCATCGGCAAAATCTGAATCCTCGTCACTACGTTCATTCTTTGGAGTGCGACAGCCTGTAACCCGTCGGTGAAATTTGTTCCTCATAATTTATTTAGTGCATTAGTCCCTTTTTTGTGATTGGTGCCAAATCCCATTATTGTACCCATATCAAGTACATTCTGATCAACCAATGGGTAACATCATTGGGAGAAAGGGATTAACAACGATTGAGAAATCAAGTCGATCATAATCATTAAGATGAAGTTTTAGTTTCAGTTGGCCAACTGTTGAGAATCGAAAGGCCAAGAAAAGGCTATCCCTGTGGAATTATATTTGCAGAATACTTCATAGTAAGATTCCATACACATACAAGAGCTACCCACCGCTATAGAGACATTTCATTAAATACCTTGGGTGCCTTTGGAAAGCTCCATGAAAACCCAGGTGTTGCATAACGAAGCATAATGGAATGAAAAATACAAATAAAAACCCACACACATATCCTAGAATAGATCTCATCAGAAAGAAAGGATCCCAACTTTGCAGTCGTCGATTGTGGAGGGTTTACTCCAACATTGTGAAAACTAATCATAAAATATTATAGAAAAATAAAAGTAGACATTTCAGTCTACAAATCTTCAAGCCCCTCTCTACTCCAGTTCATCTCATCTTCATCATTGTCAGTCCCTTGAGGTACAGTTACTTAAATAATCTCTTGTTGATATGCTTCATCGTCATCATCATCATCACCACCATCATCATCTTCTTGCATCTGAAACAAAATTCTAGGCTTTGTTTCAATAACTGTTGCCCAGTTAGGATCTTTGATACAAGGCACATAATAAACTTGTATACACTGACTGGCTAAGACAAATGGTTCTTGAGTATTTAATAGGCGTGTTCTATTGATGGTAGTAATACCATGATGATCCTTCTTGTAGCCAATGTTTTCCCAGGTTATGTCATACCAATCACATTGAAAAAGCACCACTCGAAGGCCTTCTGTGTATCAGAGTTCAATGACTTTAATAAGAGTAACATAATAAGGAATGTTGCCTTCATTCTCCCCTCTCACCATCACACCACTATTTTGAGTACGCCGATTTTGTTCACGATTTTTTGTGTGAAATCGAAATTCATTAATGTAATAACATGAGTGGGAACTGACTCTTTTATCTGGTCCACGAGCTAGAGATAATAGAGAAAGACTCACACTTTTAGGATTCTCCTGATACATCATCATGATCTACAATTAATAAGATAAATTTAATATGTATTTATATGACTTGAATCTGCCATAAGCAATAAGTGAACTTACCTTCTTGCTGAACCATTGTGCAAATTGTTGTTTGTGCATTTGTTCAATCCGACGAACACCCTCGGGAAGCTAACATGTCTTTATGCTCTCTATACATAAATAATAAACAATGTGCATGATCAGTAAATAAGAAATTTGAAATGAAAAGAGTAATCTTCTAAAATATGACGAAATATGATTACTAAATCACCTGGAATATTCCTGTAACTCATCACAATTTTCAAAGACATAAAAAATAGCAGCATTCATAAGGTTGCCTCCTAATTCCTCCATATTTGGATTTCCTCCTAGACAATGGCCCACAAGTGAAACAAACGATAGTTGGTGAAACTTGGAAGAAGTTGTCTTAACATGATCATCATTCCTCTCGGGCCGATTAAATACAGCATCAACTCCAGTCAAATAACGCGAGCAAAATGTGAGACATTCATCGATCAAATAAGTCTCAGCAATAGAACCTTCTGGACGTGCCTTATTACCGACATAGCCCTTTAACTTCTTCAATAACCTGTAACAATCGGAGAATAAACGCATTAACATAACATATTGAAAAATTGAAAAGAAGCGGTGCCTGAAAAGTTTGAAAAAATGGAAAAGAAGATGATAGTAGCGGATTGTTTTTGACATTAGAGTGGCTTGTTGTGGCCTGTGACGGAATCAATGACCCACAATAAGCATGCTACTGCGCATCTTTAGAGTAAAACAGAACATCAAATAAAAGAATATTTAACAAAAGAAAGCACAAAATGCAAATTGATGCTCATCTTTAGGGTAAAATGCAACAGAAAGGTGAATGGGCATCAAATGTCAATTAAATAGCGGGACCGCCCTCTAATAAGGTGCTTGGCTACTCAGCTTTTTTTCCTTCTTATCCAATCAATTCCCGAATGCCAAAAAATCATAGCCCCTCCAAATGAATTGGTAGGACGTGGAAGCCCATCTTTAATACTTCACAACATGGTTATCAAGCTAGTGAAATGTCGGGCGGTTGAATTTGGTGAACAGATGTCGGTAGACCTGGCAAATCAGGACTTGACCCGTTGACCCGATCTGAACCCACCTGAAAAATAGAATATGAGTTGAGATTTTTATAACCCGAAACTCAAACGATTCGAACCCGATTAACCCATAATTTTTGGGTAAGGTTGGTTGGATTGTGGGTCGACCCGCTAGACCCATTCCATTGCATATGCTACTCTCAAAATGATAAAATCACTCATAAATTGATGAGATGTTTAAAAAATTCGTAAGGATTTGAAATACAAGATTGGAGTGCAAAGACAATTAGGAAAAAATCCCAAAATACACTTGCCTTTAAAAAAAAAATCCCAAAATACACATATTTTATGAAAAATTTCCAAAATACACATGTTTGGGCATCACTGTGGTCGTCAACTGCAATGAATGCATTCACCTCAGCAGACGAAAGCGCTGAATGCCTGACCTAATACTAAAACTTCAAACGAACGTAACTTTGTGCTCAGTTATCCGATTGTAACAAATTCTTTTTTGATTCCACATAACTTTTCAAGATCTTTCAACCTGCAACAAGCCTTCATAAAAAAAATGTTGTTTACTACCCCAAACGAGCAATTTTACGATTTCGACAAACTTTGGAAGACCATAACTTTGTGTTTCACAATCCGAATGTCATGTAACTTTTTTTTATTTATTTTGCATAACTTTTGAAGGATTACAACTTTTATCATAACCATAATTTTGGAATGTATGTGGATTTGTGAAAAGTAAAAGCAAAGTTATTCCCAAAATTGAGTATACCCAAAAATAATTCTTTTTTTTAAAAAAATTGTTTTCTAGTAAAAAATATAGTTCTTAAAAAGTTATGCGCAATCAAAAAAACTTTACGACGTTCAGATTGAGTAGCAAAAAGTTATGACCTTCCAAAGTTTGGCAAAATAAAAAAATTGCCCGTTCGGGGTAGCAAACGACATTTTTTTGGTATGAAAGCTTATTGCATATTGAAAGATCTTGAAAAGTTATGCAGAATAAAAAACATTCGCTACAATCGGATAACCGAGCGCAAAGTTACGTTTGTTTGAAATTTCAGTGTTAGATCAGACATTCACGGCGGCCGGCAACTGCGGTGATGCATTCACGGCTTTCGTCTACCGCGTTGAATGCATTCACTTCGGTTGACGGCCGCAGTGATGTCCAAACATGTGTATTTTGGAATTATTTTTAATAAATATTTGTATTTTGGGATTTTTTTTCCAGATAATCAAACATCGTTTGTTTATTGTAGTAGTATTACTTTGGTGATTGTTTTTAATTTTGGCAATTTGTGCGTTCGTATTTCTTTTTATTAGCATGACCTGAAACCCGACCCGAACCCGATGGATTAGGTCAATATTTGACCCAAAATCAGCCAACCCAACATGACCCGCCCCATGACAATTCGTAACCCAAGATTTCCAACCCGAAATTACCAACCCGCCCTGATTGCCAGGTTTAGATGTCTGTCTGAAACCAACGTAAACACCACTGGTATAACCAGAATGATCTATTTACGACCTCTAAGCAAAATGACATCATTTTAGTGAATTTAATTTATAAGCTTGTCTATTATTTATTTCATGAATTTTAAAAAATTAAATGTTGATGTTATTTGTTCGATTCAAGTATGAACATTTAGGTATTGACGTTAAATGTTATATTTAAATATGAATATTTGTTATTTTATTTGGAATGTCGTATTTTTTTAAATATTGATATGAATTGTATGTATATTGCCTTCAATTATGTTTTGTATATAATTAAACTCATTTGATGTTAATCGTTTTCAATTTCGATACAAACCAACACAAAATAATTGTACCATCAGTCGAACCATTCCACTTATTAAACCGAGACAACAATATAAATCGGTTTGACTTGCTTCACAACCATATTCCATGAAAAGCATTCATTAGTTTATTAATAAATAAATAAAAAAATACATGCCAAATATCAAATATGCCATCAAACCCCCATTCCCCTCCCATTTCGTCACATCTTTCTCCAGATCAGTCTCTCTCCGGACTCCAGCAGTTCCACTGATACTGCTAGCAATTAAACCCTATTTAGCGCGATTGACAAAGAAACAAATGAACAAAGCTGCAAGGAGTTAGGAGAGAGAGAGAGCGGGAGCAATTAACGCCGTTCCTTTCGCCGAATATCCGTTGCAGCCTGCAGCCGAGTGACGGTTAACAGCTGCCCAATCGGCAGCCGGAAGACGGTCACGAGTCCAGGTCGTGCCTCTTAGTCTCAAAACCAGCTGTAGCAAGCAGCAGCGGGAGCGTCCCGCAAGATTAGGTCAGCTCCTCTTAATTCCTCTCTTCACCCCTGGCGATTTTCAGTCTTCTTCTTAGGCGTGTATGATCTTTCGAAGCATTTCAGAGATGGTTTCTTTCTAAAGATTAGTCTGACTATGACCTCTTTCTTGCGGGCTGGTCATGCTCATGTCAGTAGTACGGCGCCTTAGTTTTAGAAGGATGCTATTCGGACTGGTACTGTTACATCCTAAATGGAAAGCCATTGCTACGAATTAAGGTCTGGCTAATGCTTTCCCCCACTTGTCCTAGCAGGAAAGGAGCAATGCATGGAGATTTGACATTCCAAGATATGTACAACAACATGGAGCTGCTTGAGGACGAAGATGATGATAGTGATTGGGAGCCGGTTGCGGAACCAGTAGAGATGATTAGTTGGTTCTGCACCAACTGCACGATGGTGAATCTTGGTGATATCGCCCACTGTGATGTATGTTGACTTTCATGTTCCTTTCACTGTATTGGTCTATAAGATATATCTCTTGAAGATGCCTGTTTCCTGTGAGCGACATCCTAATGCTGGTCTTTGTCTGATAATTTTCAGTTATGCGGAGAACATAAAACTTCTGGTATCCTGAAGCATGGGTTTCTGGCATCTTCAAAGTTCCCCCAGGAAGACAGCCATATTGATGGGAAAATAGAAGCGAATGGCAACGGTAGTTGAATCTTATCGTTAAAGCCGTAATTTCTGTCATGTAATACAAGCTTGCAACCTGTGTGGTGTGCATGTTGGGAAGTTCTTGTGTGTTGTTGGGAAGTTTTGGCGTGTTGCTTTATAGAGACTTAAAATTCGTTAATCGCCTTTAGAGTGACCTTGAATCCTTTGGGTGCTTTTCATGTGATATTGGGTGTGATTTTGTTAGTGGTCAATGATAAGGAGGGGTAGTGGATTAGTGATCTTGAATCCTTTGGCCTTTCATCGTTGGTTACTTTTAATGTGATATTGGTTGTCAATTTGTTAGTGGCCATTGATAAGAATGGGTAGTGAACTTAATCCTTCTTTCTAAATATGGGTTTTGGGTAGGGAGGTTGTAGAGTTGATTTCTTGTGGTTGAATTCATTGGTTCCACATAAATGCCATCTGTTTATTCTGGGAAGTGGTTTTGTTAAATTTATTGATTCTGAGGGTATGTAACATTGCATTTGGCTGCCGTGTACTTGTAGAAGTTAGGCAACCATTGGGAGTGTATCAGTAGTGTTTTAGCAATGAGTTGGTGTAATCGTTTGTTAAATTCTACCTTTTGTTCCCCTGTGACTCATGACTATCATATTCTCCTTGTTGCTGTCTAGTAATTGGATTCCAACAGTCAGCCTTAAGCAGTCCCACAGCAGTTGGTTTTGATGAGAGAATGCTGTTGCATTCAGAGGTATGTTGCTGTTGGTATTATAAGGAGACACTGTTGCTCCCTTATTTTGCATCTCTTTCTCTTGCTACTACCACCTTGTTTTCTTAAGTTTGATCTGATGAAACATGTGATTTTTGAATTTGAAGTTTGATGCAAAACTTTGAATCTGAAAATGGGAAAGTAAGAGTTTTGCTTATTTCTTATTTTATTTTATGATCTTGTTTGTAATGTAATTTCCTGAATTTCTGTTTAAAGTAGATCGAGATGAAGTCACATCCACATCCTGAAAGGCCAGATCGCCTTCGAGCCATTGCTGCTAGCCTTGCAACGGCCGGTACTGAGCTTTCCTGAATAATTTCTACTAGCCTTTTGGTTTTTTTTGTTTGTTTTGGTTTTGTTTGTGTTACCACTTTCTTGAATAATTTGTCTTCATGGATTGTATATGCAACTGTGTTGGTAATCTGGAGTCTGATACTCCGGCATCTCTTATTTGCCAGTTCTTGAATTTACTGTGATCCTTTTGTTTATGCAGGTATATTTCCTGGAAGATGCCAGGCTATTGCTGCCAGAGAGATTACTCGGGAAGAACTTGAGAGGGTTAGTCTAAAAAAATTACTTCTCATTTGTGTTGTCTTGTGTGGGTGCACCCTGGTAATATTTTTGGATTGGACCAGAGGCTAATTACAGAACATTAAGAGTTGGCCTTGAGGTTTATGTTCCCTGGCAAATACAGTTGGAATGTAATAGAACCAGACCAAGTATTTGTTGTCCATGGTTATTGGTAATTACTTGTCACAGTGGGTATATGAAAATATGTTTTCAAATTGTTGATTAGTTGTTTAATCAAGGGCCATGGATTAAAAAATGTTAACCAAATATCTCTGGTGCTGTATTGGACCATAAACATAGTCCTCGCCTTGCAAATCGAAACATTCCCCCTGTGGAACTGGATTGTGCTATAACCATCCCAATCATGTTACACTGACCAATTGTCTATGAATCAATTCCTTTCTCCTTGTTA